AAGAACCCTGCTGGAACTTCTAGTCCAGCAGCCTGTTCTCACAGTGGCCAACCAGTGGCCTACAGGAAGTCAGCAAACAGGGCCTGAGTGCAGCAGCACTATCCTCACTTGCTGTTCCCAAAACTAGTACAGTCATACCTCGGGTTGAATGTGCTCCGGTTGAGCACGTTTGAGTTGCACTCCACGGCAACCTGGAAGTAACGGAGCACATTACTTCTGGGTTTCGCCACTCAAAATGACGTCATGCGCATGCATGGAAGCGGCAAAACGCGACCCGCGCACGCACAGAGGCGCCATCGCGGCTTACATTGCATTCAGGATGCGAATGGAGCTCCAGAACGGATCCCTTTCACATCCCGAGGTACCACTGTTTTCAGAAGCACACTGGGTTGTATCCACAAGAGTTCTAATTGTAACAACAGAACGTCACCTGCCTCTTCTCTCACAATGCACCCTCAAAATCTACTCTGGAAGGTCCTCCAATCCAATGAGCAAAATTTGAGGGGGCGTGGGGAGGCTTCGGGAGAGTGGAGGCAAACGTTCCATTGAACAAGTGGACGTCTGCTGTGCTGGTGGAACAGCAGCATTGGATACAATGCTCATTGCTTTCAACAGTGGACATAGAGCATAGGCATTGTGGCTAGTGGCCATTTTTATTTGTAGAATTCCAACATGTGTCAGATGTTATTTTCTCTCTCTCTACGCCTTTGCTTCCTTCTCTCCCTGCCTCCTATAGCCACTGACAGGCTTATCCTCCATGAATTTGCCTAATCTTCTTTTAAGCTTTTTGAAATATTTTATCCTCCAAGTTAGTGGTCATCACCATACCTTATGGGAACAAATACCATAGTTTAACTACATGCATTGACTATTTTTTCATGCTACCCTGTTGTTCTATTTGAAAGACCCATCTCTTGAATCTCTTGAGTGTCAGGCTTTATGAGTTGATATAAGCAAGGTTATATAGCCCAGATTTATAAGAAGAAAGCTCCACTCTACAACCACCTGAGCTTGAGGGAGGACATTTCAAGATATGGCTGGCCAAGCAGCAGTAGGTATGCCAGATGTGGTACAGGCAACTGAAGTTTATGGCACTCTTGAACAGAAGCAGGAGAACCAGGCCTATACTCATGCTTGCCTCTGATGTGCCACACCTCTAATTCTTCCTCGTCTCAGTAAAACAGGGAAACCATATCAAGGCATTGTGGTGGGATGATGAGGGAGGCATGTATTCTTGTAAAGAAAATGTTGTCCACTCAGCTGCTGTATAGAAAACAAGCTGTCCATTTAGAGGCAGTTTATATAAAAACAGGGTGCTGGTTCCAGCCAACATAGGTAGGAGAAGCCTGGTCTCACTCACAGCAGAACTATTGTCTTATTTTTAGAACAAAACCACCAGTGAATTGAAGTCTTGCTCCAGCTTATTTATGATGGAAATTTATATCCTTCCCTTCAAATAGTGTTCCAGGGTGGCTTACAGTAGTAAATCAAAAGTACAATAAAAGCACTTAGGTAATAGTGAGCCTCCCCAAGGAGAGCATCTCTGTCCATGACCAGCATCTTGTGAAGGAGCTGTAGCTGGAAGGGAAGCTGAACCCAGATGTTGTGGAGCTGAGTAAATGAACTGGAAACTAGGCAGCTCAATAGGGAACATTTGATCAACAAAGGGGATTCAGAGGAAACTAAAAGGATTATATCCTCACTGTCAGCTTCTCCTCTTCCTGATCATCTGCAATTGTTATTTCTGAGTGTAAGCCAAAGATGGAGAAACTTTGGCTCTCCAGGTATTGCTAGACACAGCTGCCATCATCCTTGACCATTGGCCACGCTGGTTGGGACTTCTGGGAGTTGGAATCCAACAACGTCTGGAGGGTTGCAGGTTCTCCACTGCTGATGTAGACCCTTGTACCCCAAGATACTCTGGGCAATAGAGTCATCTGAAAGTCAGTTGGGAACTCCTGTTCCAGCTTCTACCGGATTTACTGCCACCTTCACTCTTGGGGCTTCTGTAATGAAGGGTGAGAACTGGGGATCAAGACAGGGCTTAGGCAGCAGTTGGAAGGATTTAACAAAGGGTGACACATCCATGAGCCAAAGCATTTCAGTCTGGTTTGCAATTTTTGTAGGTTCTTCCAGATCCTCAGTTGTACTGGTTTTTTTCCATGGAGTCCCATGCTATTGCTTCCTCAGAGGAGGCTAGCCAGGGATCTGGCTTAGGTAGGATCCTGACAACTCTGTACTTAGGGCATCTGTAGTTATTTCCCCCTGTAATCAAACTGACTTAAGTAGAATGTAATAACTGCTAAAGAGACTCTCTATTTTTTGAGCCAGCATCAAGTAGATGCTGACATCCTTCTAACACTGATGGGTCTGAAAGATTGGCCAGACCACTGCCTATGAACTTCCTAGGTAAAAATCCTGAACTTTCTGCTTTTCATCTGCTTATTTTACACAAGGTCACACCCCAGCATATGTGGAAAAGGAACATGGGCTCAACCAATTCACTTTCACTCAAGTGTCAACACTCAAATTTAATAGTGTGAGTAATCCAGGAAGAGATACAGCGTAGGTTTAGTGTCCAGATCCAATCAATCTGAAATTATGTAGGACTGTTTGTGTATTGGACCTCTCTGCATTTTCCTGCACTTGGCCAACCACCAGAGTGATGGTTGTCCAGATTCAGTGGCCAGGAAACCTCTGGACACATTCTAATTCCTGATGCCTTGTTAGGAGAGCAATTGTTTCAATGACTTTGCGGAGACTCCTCTGATTTAGCCCTTATATTAAGCAGAGTTGTATTTCAGGCATGAAAATGTAGAGAATTGCATTCGATCAATACTTCTACCCTTATCAGTCTCCAAAGATACCCAGCCTCTCCTCCCATTACTCCCTGCTCAAAATATAATACACCCATCTTTACTTTCTCTTTTCGCTCTTATCAGAAAGTGGCTGGTTCACAACCCGATCCTCAAAGGCAAGGGTTATTCTCACCTGGGGGTGGGGGGAAGTTCATGGCAGTAACTGTTCTTTTAAGGAACAAATCCAATAACTTCCATATAAATTGTCTGGGAGAGAAAACTTCTTTGCTTTTGGTCTTTGTAGCTGTTTCAGCATTTTTTCCCTGTGGAAGATGAAAAACTTTTGCATTGAGCAAAACACAGATTTATGGTCAATAAAGTGAAGTTTAACAGTTTATAGGAGCTATACATTCTTTTTTTTACAAACTGTTATTAAAAACAGGGTGTTCTCTCCCCCACCAAATTGTGTGGAAGGAATGTACTTCAGGGCCCATCGCGTCGGTATTTCAGAGCTCCAAAGAGACAAGCAGAGCCTTAGGAATAATAGTGGGCCAGAGCAGACTTTTCACTTTTGCTACTTGGTAACTGCTGCTCATGCAAACCAGTGAAACTCATAAAGTTATCATATTTTTTTGATCAGGATTGCATTGAATGCAGAGAACTGCATTGCAAACTAGAATTCCCACACACATGCAAAAAAGGGGGGTTCAAAAGGGGGTTAGGGTAGAAGAGCTATAGAAAAAATATCAGTAATGATCACATTGTTGTTGTTGTTGTTGTTGTTGTTGTTGTTTAGTCATTTAGTCATGTCTGACTCTTTGTGACCCCATGGACCAGAGCACGTCAGGCACTTCTGTCTTCCACTGCCTCCCGCAGTTCGGTCAGACTCACACTGATCACATTGTCCTCTGCAAATTTGGTCCATATACAGTCAAACCTCGGAACTCAGACGTAATTCATTCTGGAAGACCGCTCAACTTCCTAAACACTCAGGTTCTGAGACACGGCTTCCAATTAGTTGCAAGGGCTTCTTGCACTCAAGCGGAAGCCACATCAGACGTTTGAGTTCCGAGGAACGTTCGCAAACCGGAACACTTACTTCCGGGTTTTCGGCGTTCAGGAACTGAAACATTTGGCAAAAGAGCTGTTTGAGTTCCGAGGTTTGACTATCTCTTTACGTGGTTATTTTCAAGCACAAAATGCTTTATACAGTGAAAAACCGCTTAAACTGAGAGGAAGTGGACTGAGGCTACTTGGTGAACTTCATGACCAATTTTGTCCTGGTTCTCACTGGATTAACTATTCATCAGGTGGGAATAGAATGAAGCCCTCTCAAAAGATGGTGTGGAGAGCAAGAAATTCCTCTGGCTCTTTAAGAAAGGAGTTGCAACTTCCCTTAGTTTCCCCGTTTTTCTTGTTTTATAATTTTGTTTTAAAGCCTTGCCCTGCTCGTTGTGGCACAAGGCTCTCCCTACATCTTCCTGAAATGCCTTGGGAATGATGATACCTCATGATGGATCATGAGGCTCTCTCCATAGGTTCCCACTGGCTACATTTTCTGGCAAGCCCCAGTAACAAATGCAGCAAATCATTCCCAATTTTTTGGAAGAATTCATCCCACGCACAAGAAAACCAGACCCCATTTTCATAGGAGAGAGTATTTTCAGAAATTTTGGGGAATGGGGAGTTTATTTGATTCCAGGATTAAGAGATAAGAGCCTCGATTTTTTCCCCATGATTTGGCAAAATCTGAGAATACTCTGAGAATATTTTATGGCAGGCACAGCCTAGCCTCCTACTGAGATTGTTTCTGCTCACAGCATACAGGACACCCTTGAAAAATGCCTGCAGACAGTATATGTTAAACACAGATCTATCATCAGCTCAGTCTCTTGGAACACAGTCCTTCCAACTGTGATCAGTGGAAGGACTCCCTTTGATCAGTGGTAACATCCATGCACCTACAAACATATGAACATAAGAAGAGCCTGCTGGATCAGGCCAATGGCCCATCTCGTCCAGCATCCTGTTCTCATAGTTAGTTGCCTGTGGGGAAGCCACAAGCAGGATCCAAGACAAGCACAAGAGCTCTCCTCCCTGCTGTGGTTTCCAGCAACTGGCATAAACAGAATCATGGAACTGTAGAGTTGGAAGGGACCCCCAGGGTCCAACCCCCTGCAATGCAGGAATCCTGCCCACAGCCATCTCTGGGTGGGCACGAACCACCAACCTGCTGGTTAACAGCCAGATGCACTGAGCCATTGTGCCATTGATGATGGACATTGCTGAGCTTGAACTATTACTCTCATCCACAGCATATAATGAAGAAAGGTACTTTTACTGGTTAGCATGGAGAGTCAACACATAACTTAGAAAACAAAAAGTCAACTTTGAACATTCAAAGAGACAGCCTTAAAAATATATTCAGTAGACTAAAAGGCAGTATACTCACAATTGGTTTGGATTGGTGATGGAAAGCATCATCCTTGAATGAGCCATTTCTGACTCCACTATCATGGAGGAAAACCTCGCCCACCACAGAATGTTTTTAAGGTATTTGAACTTTTAGCCAATCAGGGCTTAGATCTACATCAAAATGTATCCCAAAAAAGAGAGGGGTGTGTGTGTGTGTCCCATAACAGTGCCTCCCAGCTCATGCTCCTTCTTCAACCATGTCTGCTGGCATGTTTGTTCATTTAACTTAGACTCTAGAAATAGCCTTCATAAAGTTATTGATTAAGGTCCCAGTCCCACTCTGAACAAAATCAATGGCAAAACTCTTTTTATAATTTGTATTGTGATAACAGGGATCACTGTGATTAGATCCACATATAGGATAGATAGGCTTTATATTCTTAGATTTCCCCACCTCCACTGGTCTTCCTAAGGGTAATTTCATGTAGCATCACTAACACTTCAATATTTCTCTCTCTGCGTTCTGTCCGCCTTAAACTATCTCAGCTCTGTAATTGGGTATCTTTTTATTGATACAATAATGTACTATTGTCCTACAGACTATTCCATTAAGCTGTTGTGTTTGTAGGGGAGAAAATACTTTACTAAGTAATACACAAGATATGCACCAATAGTTCTGCATCATAGTCTGTCAATTTAGGGAAGGGAAATCCTTTTTCTCTTTTCTTTGGGTCTAGTGATCAGACAGAAGATTTTGTGCTGGATTGCATCTGCAGCTCCACACAATGCTTACATTAAGTTTGGAGGATTAAAGCATTGATTTGTTGCATGCAACTAATGGACCTGAATATGGATGCATGCTTCTGCTCTTATTAGATGCATCTAAACAGAGATCAGCATCAGCTGCTCATGTGATATCTTTTATCGGATGAGGACATTTGCTGATAGTTAACACAGTGTGATATGGCTAATCACCCACACCTATTTATTTGTTATATTTGCATATCCTGTCCTTCTTTCCAAAGGAGCATAGGGCAACAAACAAGTGATAAAACAACGAAAACATGTTAGTAGCATTGAGAAAACTGTCCAACCATCTCGTCCTCTGTTGTCCCCTTCTCCTTGTGCCCTTAATCTTTCCCAACATCAGGGTCTTTTCCAGGGAGTCTTCTCTTCTCATGAGGTGGCCAACATGAGTTTGACCAAACTGCGGGAGGCAGGGGAAGACAGGAGTGCGTGGTGTGCTCTGGTCCATAGGGTCATGAAGAGTCAAACACAACTAAACAACTAAACAACTAAACTATTTCTTTTGGTGCTTATAAAGCGGCATCAGTGTATCTAAAAATCCAGCTCTGGTTTTGGTGCTGAGGCCTTGAGGCCTGACTTGCAGTCTGCAATGCTATGAATACATGGGAATATACTCCTGAGTAAGCCACCACAGGATTCTACTGCCAAATTCAGTTTCATAGTTTCAATGAACCAGGGGGCCTGCTGAGCACTAAGAAAAACTGAACAAGGCATTTTGAAACCTTCAAGTTTATCATCTCTGGAAAGTTATATATGCAAATGTGGAATTCCGCAAGGCAGTATTTTCCAAAGCAAATGCTGACATTACAGCCAGCTCCTTAAGTACTTGTATAGCTGATTTGTGCTAAACTGCTTTGTCTGACTGGCAAAGCTGTCTCTTTGCCAAAAGTAACGGTTATAAAATTATGACTTGTGCATATATAATGTTTGTGTTTAACAAGATGACAGAAATGCCACCTTAGTAAAAACTGATTGTGGTTACAGCTGCACAATTCACATCAGGCAAGATTTATTGTATTAAGGTTATGCAATCATCTCATCGTAGAGACAAGGCTCGGGTAATAATATGGGAGGCATGTACTTCAATCTGCAATGCTAGATTCATTGCCACTTTCTTATTAGCTTGTGGAAACATTAGACCTGCATTATCCATTTCGCTAGAGCCTCATTCAGCATTTCCACCAGGAAACAGATGCAGAAAAATTGGGGTATACTAAATACGCAGTGAGACAAAGTTATCTGAGTAACCATATTGGTGTATAAATGTGTGCACAAAGAAAGGTTTTTGTATGTTGGGGGTGGCTAACCTGTGGCTTTCTGCTGCTATTGGACTACAACTCCCAGCAGCCCAAGCTGGCATGACAGTAGTGGAGGGCAGCACTCACCTAACCTATAGTTGCTTGTATCACTGCTGCGTTCTAGAGGTGGAGAGGTCAGAATGGTGCAAACACATTGGGGCAGCCAATCTGTTACACCTGCCATTGCATATGCACTGTGCTGACCTCCCCTCTCCTTACTATGTAGCAGCAGTGCAGGCAGCTGGCAGTCAGGTGAGCACTGCTGCTCCCTCCTGCTGTCCCCTCCTGCTATGCCAGCTGGGGCTCATGGGAACTGGAATCGAACAATATCTAGCCATAGGTTAGCCATCCCTGCTGTATGCATGTATGTGCCTGACACGTCACCTTTATCAGCTCTGTATTAAAACCATGGATTCAGAAGCAAATATCCCTGCTTTCAATGAGACTGTATTGTATATTGCTCCACTGGTTTTAAAGTGCTTTCAGGACTTTTTAGAGGATTGTGCCTTTAAGTTGGCCAGGGAAGCTTATTGTGCTTTATTCAATTTGCACGTTGATCTTTGTTAGGCATGAAGTGAAAAATGTAACAGCTCTTGTTTTCCTCAAACAAATGCTTGCATATACTGGCATAGTCCCCTTGAGGCTGCAAAGCTGTCTAGGGACAAGGAAGACTTCTAAAAATACCATCAAGAGTGCATGTTGATTATTATGAGACTGACACATACCTACAAATCTGCAACACACACACACACACAGACAGACAGACAGACACAATCAATCCCATGCACAAGCTACCTCATCAACTGTTCCAAATCCACATCCAGCTTCTCCTCTCTTTTTCCTCTCTTCCCTTTTGAGCACGGCCAGCCCAAGACTTTTACCTAATCCAGTGCTAAGGATTTCCACTTGTGCAAAGGGACTTTCCCCACTCTCCTCCCAGTGTGTGTACCCCACACCGTCCCTAAATCTTCTCCAGATGCTGCAGAACAGATTTGGGGGTGTAGGGGGGGAAAGACGGGGACTGTCCTATTGCACAAGCAGAAATCCTTGCGCTGACAGAACACTTACATCGGATACATGACCAGGTGATTTTGCTGCCTTAGGTGAAGGCCAAGCTGAATATCACTTCAACATTAGTGACTGGACAATAGCTAGCTTATTTATTACATGAATCTATGGTGCCATCTCCTTTGGAATCCTCTGTGCTGTTCTGATTGCCTCACCTAAAAAATGTTGTTAGTAGAGTTGGAGAAGGTTCAGAAAAGGGCAACCAAAATGATCAGAGGAATGGAGCAACTCCCAGTTGGGCCTTATGACTTTAGAGAAATCTAAAATATAGTTTAGAGTATATAATGTAAAATTACGTATGGTATGGAGGAAATGGCTACAGAAAGGTTTTCTTCCCTTTCTCATTACAGTGGACGCTTGGGTTGTGAATGTGATCTGTGCTGGATGCACGTTCGCAACCTGCAACATTCGCAACCTGCGCCTGTGCGTCAGGCGCGGGTTGCGATTTGGCACTTCTGTGCATGCCCAAAGCGCGATTTAGCGCTTCTGTGCATGCGCCACCGCCGAAACCCAGAAGTAACCCGTTCCAGTACTTCCGGGTTTCGGCGGTCAGTAACCCGAAAAAACACAACCTGAAATGTCTGTAACCCGAGGTATGACTGTACATTAGAGCATGTGGACAATCAATGAAGCTGAATATTGGAAGGTTCAGAACAGATAGTTCTTCTTTATCCAGTACATAATTAAGTTAAGGAACTCGTTCCCAAAGGAGGCAGTGATGGCCAACAACTTGGATAGCTTTAAAAGAGGATTAGACAAATTCATGGAGGTTCAGGCTATCAGTGGCCTCCCTAGTTGAAGGAAGTAATGCTTCTGGATGCCAGTTGCTGCTAAATGCAGGAAGAGAGAGTGCTCTTGTGCTCAGGTGCTGCTTGAGGGTTTCCCACAGACATCTGCTTGGCTACTGTGAGAATATGATGCTACACTAAATGGGCTATTGACTTGATCCAGCAGGCTCTTCTCATGTCCTTAGCCATTATTTCAATTTCTATTCCATCCTCCTTCAAGCTCATGAGCTCAGAATGAGTCACAATAGAAAGCACAATCAACAACAACACTCATTAAATAGTCAACTAAAACTGTAACCATTACAGAAAAAATCCAGACCAACGGGAAATCACACAGATAGACAATATATCAGTGCACAACTGGCTCATTACCTCCATCCCTTGGAAAGGCAAAGAGGCGAGTCTTCCAATGGCGTCAAAAGGCAACCAACGTTGGTGACAGCCGCACCACTGAGGTCTTCATAAACAGGGTGCCATCACAGAGAGATGCATAGAAGAGACTGTGGGGGCACACACAGCTCAGCTCTCCAACCCCTCAACACAGCTCCCCACCCCATGGCATCTTCTACCTGAGTTGGCTGCCAAATTAAGGCCAGGTCTGCCACCCATCTGAAAACACCCTTAGCAAACATGCCTAGGTTATCCCAGTACTCCAAGAGACCATAAATTCCTCCTTGGTTCTGTAATCCATCATTGCTTTTGTCTAGATGACGAGCTGTTGCTCCTCTATTTAAATAGCTGTGGATTTTGCTGTGTGCCTTTCAGGAGTGAGGATGCTCAGTTCTGTCAATGATTACAAGAAGGGAAAGTTTAGGAGTAGAAAGAACACCTTACCTCAGCAAAGTCGGATGAAAAGACACCTCTGCATTGACAGTTGTGGGTATGTGGGTGTCCTTTT